GGCCTCCTCCCTTCCTCCAATGTCTGTTTTCTAGAAGATTTTTAAGTAACCTTATAACTGGTTTTGAATTCTATATCCAGTAGTTTGCTTTTTTCCATTGGTTTCATTTGTGACATGTTTCTTTGTCTTTGCGTTTTAGCTGCTTCCCTGTGTTTGTTTCTATGTATTGGGTAGACCTGTATGTCTCCTTGAGTTGGTAGAGTGGTGTTGTGTAGTAGGTGTTCTATAGGGCCCAGTGGCTCAGCCTCCCCAGTCACCTGAGCAGGGTACCCTAGGTAAACCCCTTTGTGGGCTGTGAGCACAGTCATGTTGTAGTTGAGACTTGATTGCTATTGGTGTCACTGGGGGAATTGACCTCCAGGCCAATTGCCTGTGAGGACCACCTGTGACTACAGTGGGAGAGCTGCTGTGAAGGAGACACCCTTATGGAACAGGACTTGCTTCATTGGAACTTTGCTGCTCACTGAGTCTGCTCCTTGAGTGTGTCGCTTATGGATGTGTAGAGTTGTAATGTGGTATGGTCTCACACTGACCACTAGGTACACTGGCTCTTGGGTCTCCAGGGAGGTGCATAGTCAGCCATTGCCTTGATCATCCAATAGGAGCTACAGGGTGATCTGCAGATTCCTCCTCTTTATATCAGGTTTGGAAGTGCCCAGATGAGACCCAACTATGAAGCAAGGCAGATTGGTGCTAGTGCCAGGTCTTGGGCCTTTTATTGATAGGATTGGGGCTCCCTGTCTTAACTGCTGCTTGTTTGAGAGATTTTAGCCTGAGCAAGGACAGGCCATTCATACGCAAAAGCCACTGCTCAAATGTTAAAAACTGAATTCATGAGTTTTTAACATTTCTGCACACAGTGATGTTACAGTTGAGTCTAGTCTGAAGTCACGTTCAGATGGCAAACTGGCAGTTTAGGGTTGGAAATTGGATGAGGCAGGGTCTTAGGGAATCACCTGAATGGAACAAACAGAAATGGCTACTAGTTAGCCCTGCGACCGGGGAGATCCCAGCATAGGAACAATGATCCCTGCGAGCACCTCTGTCTGGGAGAAAGCCGCTCCCGAGTTCCTGCCTTGATGCCAGACAATCCAGTTCTTCCCTGTATTTGTCTGTGTCCCCCAGAGCCTCACTCTGGTGCTGAAGTTCAGAGGAAGCAGGACCTTGTAAGATCAGTTCCTGGTGCTGGCCTTTTAAGAGGAACAGCTGGGACTCCAGCAGTCTCTGTGTCACTGACCTCTAGTCCACACTGGTTTTTACAGCCTGTAGTTCTTACTGCCCGTAGGGACTTCTTTTAGCCAGCTCTGGCATCCTGGACTGGAGGTCTGGTGTGGGGTTGGGACCCCTTGCTCCTTTGGGTGGCTTTCGCAGAGATGATCTCCCTCCCGATTAAAAAAGCGGTACACGTGGGTCCCGGACCAGTCTATGTCCTGCCTCCGCACCACCTACCAGTCTCAGTGTGCTTTCTTTACTTATCTAATTGTAGGACTTCTATTCTGCCAGCTTTCCATTGGTTCTGGATGGTGGTGGTTCTGTATTTTACTTGTACTTTTGATATGGTTGTGGGAGGCAGCAATTACGGTCGTTTACCTATGCTGCCATCTTCCTTTCTCTGCATACAAGTTCTTTGGCTAATCTCTTCCCACCCACCCCCCCACCCACCACCCCAGGCCTTCACCACTCTATTGTTTGTGTCCATGGGTTATGCATATATGCATACAAGTTCTTTGGCTAATCTCTTCCCACCCACCCTCCCTCGTCTTCCCTCTGAGATTGGACTGTCTGTTCTGTGCTTTTATGTCCCTGGATCTATTTTGTTTATCAGTTTATTTTGTTCAATAGATTCCACATATGAGTGAGATCATGTAATACTTATCTTTCTCTGACTTGCTTTTTTTGCTTATAATACTCACCAGATCCTTTCATGTTGTCTCAAAGGGTAAGAGATCCTTCTTTTTTACTTCTGCATAGTATTCCATGGTGTAAATGTGCCACGGCTTTTTTATCCACTCAACTACTGATGGGTACTTGGATTCTTTCCAGATCTTAGCTATTGTAAATTGCGCTGCTGTGAACGTAGGGGTACATATATTCTTTCTCATTGGTGTTTCAGATTTCTTAGGATATGTTCCTAAAAGTGGGATCTTAGTGGGTGGTTTTTAATATGTCCCAGAGTATGTAAAGAACCTTCACTAATTTATAGACCTGTTTAGTAAATTTGTTTTATTGTCTATTGAGTGATTAATTTAGGAAATGTAATTGTCTCAAAGTTAACTTGAAATATAGCTTTGGAAATGTGTAGCCATTAAAATGGTCTTTCAGATATATGTAGAAAGATGTTAATTGTAATTTTTGTGAAAGGTGTGTGACAAGAGAGTATGTTAGGGAGCCCATTTTGTTTGCACATGTACACGAAATATCTGTATGTAGGATTTACACCAAGGTATTAATTCTGTTTTTTTCTCGGAGGATGGGATGAAATATGGCTCATTTTCTTTTTCCTTGTTGTTGTATTATTGTTAGAAAGAGCAAAAGCAGCACACTTACCGAAATATGTGAGTTTTCAGATTTTTGAGGTGCTAAATTTTAGTATTTATATTTACCATAGTTTTAAGAAATCCTGATATTTATAAAATTATACTACATAATACATTTTTTTAAAAGAACTCAAAATTTCTTTTCTGAAGAGAAATAAGGCAAGGAAATACTACCTTCTAGAATTCTCTTATGTTGAAAGTTCATATTCTTCAATGCAATTTTTTCTTATTTTCTGTGTAGTTGTCTAGCATGTTTTTAAAACTCCATAAAGTCAGGGAAACTAAAATTTGAGCACACATTATTTATCTACTTGGTGTGTGGTGGGTGTTTTTGGTGTCATGGAGGAGGATGTAGGGGGTGGTCTTTCTGAAGTGAATTTAGGTGGGATTTGCCAGGACATTCATGATCATTATTCCAATGATTTTTAAATTTCTCAACCTAATTTTGAGACTTGTCCAGTTAGCGTGCCGTGGGATGTGTGGTATACTCTATGTAGAATCACCACATGTTTGAGCTGGGAATGCCTTAGAGCTGAAGTGGTTCGGCCCCTTCTTTTCTCATGAGAACGTTGCTCAGTGGCGTTGGACTGAATGACCCGAGGTTTTCCTGACTGTTCTAGGGTAGCTCTAAAGCAAGAGCTGTACACTTCAGGCTACATTCCCCACTACCCTGACCTAACCTTCTCTGCTGTCCCCAGTCTCATGTCTGACACCTGCACTCCTAGATGTTTGTGCTGTAACATGTGATTCCAAAGTGTGTCCTCTTACAGAAATGCAGTGTACACAGAGCTCATTTAAAGGAGCCACAGAGTTCCTTAGTTTGTAATGAAGTTGAGATTATACAGGAGGGCTTCTTACCTTTAAAATATATTTTTAGATTTAAGTTCTATTTTAGAGATTAGTTAACATTAAACACCAATTTTTATGTGTTATTTCAAGAATGGTGACTTAGCCCAGCTGATGTGGCTCAGTGGTAGAATGTCGTCGACCTATGAATCAGGAGGTCAGGGTTCATTTCGGGGTCAGGGCACATGTCTGGGTTGTTGGCTGGATCCCCACTAGGGGGCATACTGAAGGCAGCTGATTAGTGAGTCTCTCTTATCATTGATATTTCTATTTCTTCTTTCCCTTCCTTTCAGAAATCAATAAAAAATTATATTTTTAAAATGGTGACTTAAAATTAGTCACTAAGTATTTAAAGTTTTTAAAATTTACATTAGCAGTAATAATCTCTAATACACACACACACACACACACACACGCACACATATATATATATGTGCCTAATATGCAAATTGTCCCCTCAGGAGTTTGATGGGGAGTTTGCTCGCTATGACATGCACTGACCACCAGGGGGGAGCACGGAACGAAGGGAGACCCTGGCCGGCAGCTGGAAGGCCCCAATTGGCCCTGATCGCTGGCCAGGCCTAGGGACCCTACCCATGCACTAATTTTGTGTACCAGGCCTCTATAGTCTATCTATACTAATCTATACTAATATTAAAGGTAATATGCTAATTAGACCGACGTCTTCTGGAGAAAACCACGGTGGCGGGGGCCGAGGCAGAGGTGGTTAGGGGTGATCAGGCCGGCAGAGGAGAGCAGTTAGGGGCGATCAAGCTGGCAGGGGAGGGCAGTTGGGGGCAATCAGGCCAGCAGGGGAGGGCAGTTAGGGGGTGATCAGGCTGGCAGGCAGAGGCAGTTAGGGGCGGTCAGGCAGGCAGGTGAGCGGTTAGGAACCAGTGGTCCCAGATTGCAAGAGGGATGTCTGACTGCCCGTTTGGGATCGGGCCTAAACCAGCAGTCGGACATTCCCCCAAGGGGTTCTGGATTGGAGAGGGTGCAGGCCGGGTTGAGGGGCACTCCCCTTCCCGTCCCCCACTGCACAGATTCCGTGCACCAGGCCTCTTAGTGAATATATAAAGGCCTAAGCAACCATTAACGACCGGTCGACTGGTTGCTATGACACACACTGACCACCAGCGGGCAGATGCTCAACGCAGGAGCTGCCCCCTGGTGGTCAGTGCACTCCCACAGCCAACCTCCCATGGTCCCTCCCCCCGGCCAGCTGGCCAACCTGCGGCCCCTCCCCCAGGCCACCTGATCAGGACTGGGTGAGATGCCCTCAATCACCCCAATTGCTGGCCAGGCCGAGGAACCCCATCCATGCATGAATTCGTGCACCGGGCCTCGAGTATAATGCATACTATTCTAGTATATTTACATCCTGCAACATCTCCTCAGAGGGAGCAAACTCAGCTGTCTTATGGTGGGATCTCTGGCAGCTCAGGGTTTTCACTCAGGAGCAGTGGGCATGGTCCCTGCAGCCTGGCGTGGGGCGCATGCATTTGAGGGGTTAATCGGACAGATTCCAAATTGTACAGTTTCCTCAGCTCGCTGCTTTTTGGAAGAAACATATTGAGCAAGTATTTACTGACTCTTATTTCCCCCATTCCTTTTTAGGCTTCTCTACAGCTTAGCCTTTAATGCCAGGTTTCTGAGGCACCTTTGGGTTCTCATATCCTCAATGACAACGCAGATGATCACAGGGTATGTATCCCACAGACTTAGAAATTGAGCTTAAGGAAGTAGCAAATAATAAAAAAATACTGTATAGTATTTTAAGTACTGCTTTTATCTAGCTTATTTCATATTAGAAGATAACTTCTAACTGGTCTCAATTTCATAAAAAGAAGTAACCAGTGCCAATTTTACAGCAGTTCATCTGTATTATTAGGAGTATGGCTTTATCTGAGGGTAAATTTCTCTTAAAACTCTTAGTCATCTTTGGAAAACAGAGACTTGACATTTCTTTGTTTCATATGACTTGCCTGTGCTTTTGAGATTGAAAATACAGATTTGAAGCAAATTTTTTGAACATTTTTATTGATTTCAGAGAGGAAGGGAAAAGTAGATAGAAACGTCAATGATGAGAGAGAATCGTTGATTGGCTGCCTCCTGCCACCCCTCACTAGAGATTGAGCACGCGACCCCGGATATGTGCCCTGACCGGGAATTGAACTGTGACCTCCTGGTTCATCATTCAATGCTTAACCAATGAGCCACACTGGCCGAGCTGAAGCAAATTTAGTACCATTACAAATATTAAAAGATACCAAATATTGTAGAAGTTGGTTTTTAAAACTTTATGTTGAAATAATTTAATTTTTCTTATCTGAATCATTATGTCACTTGAAGGCAAGAATCTTTACATATTGAAACTGAATGAGTAACAGGTAGAGAAATGAATGTTCATGCAAACTGTATTAGGCTATTCTCATCAGGAACGTCCCCTCTCTCGGAGGTCTAAGTTGGTACCTCCACACTGTCATGCAGAAAGGTGGCATGTGTGACTCAGTTTACTGGGGACAGAACTCAGGATGCACCTGCTTGTGAGGCTCATGCCCTGGAGATACAGCCTCGTCCAGGGCCCAGCTGGGAGCCAGCCCACAAGAATGAGAGGAAGGCCCAGGTTTAGGGCCAGACGGTAAAGAAGACTGTTTCTTTTTGTTTTATTTTCTTTTGTTGTTTGGCTTCTTTGGAGGTGAGGGTAAGAAGTTGAAAGAAGGAATGTTTGGGGGGTGAGGGTGGGGTGTCCAGCATTTGAGTGTGCCTTCATCAGCAGTGTGGTCAGGTGTGGTGTATTAGATGGGCTAGGCGTCTCGTGTTGCGGATCCTGACCTCGAGCTTTTCAGCGTGGTTTGCAGAGAAAGGAGGGTCCTGTTTTAGTGCCTTAGTGTCAGGGACAGTCAGCCTTGAGTGAGAGGAGCCATGTGTCCAAGTCATCTGTACAGCGCGGGCCACATCTCTCCTCGTGCGGCTTTGTGGAAATAGATACTCATGGTGCCCACAGCATCGATTGCTCAGGATTGATTGGACCTGCTGTAGGGGACCATGGGACCTCATTCAACCATGAGAGAAAGGGAACAGATTGGAGGGGGTGAAGTATGTGTAATGCTTTACAGCCCTTGACAGGTGAGGAGACTCCAAACCTCTCTCAGGAACCCCTCATCTTAGACTGCTCTGTGTGGTCAGTGACAGCGCGTACAAGCAGAAGCAGTAACAGAGCTAGGTGGTGAACGTGGACAATAGAAACAGGGCCCAGGGCTGAGAAGGGGAGACTGTCTTCCTGCAGTTGAGTGGCTGGTTGGGTCCTGGGTTTTAGTCTGTTGTTTATTAGCCCACATTGCTAGAAGGACTTCACCTTTCCTTGAGGTAGATTCGTGGCTCCCATGAATGTGAAGTTCCCTGATTGTGTTTGTCTGGTGTCGTGTCTTCTCTCCTCCCCACTCAGGTCGATGGTGCCACTGCTTCAGGTGATATCAAGGGGCTCGCCCATGTCCTTTGAAGACTCCAGCCGCATCATCCCGCTCTTCTACCTGTTCAGCTCCTTGTTTAGTCACTCTCTGATCTCCATACATGATAATGAATTCTTCGGGGACCCCATAGAAGGTGAGACCTGAGGAATCTAATTGTTGCTGGCCCCTTGGCCTCACCTCTCCAAGCCCATGGAGGACAGGGAAGCCTTCATTCTTCTAAGTCTGTCGATGTGTGAGAACTTTCCTAAAATTGTGATGGGAGTTAGCTTGTTTTCCAGCCACAGGTCAGAGACAATCATCCCTGATGCCTTTCACTCTGGAAGAGCTGGTGGTGCTGTCCCGCTGCCTCCGCGATGCCTGCCTCGGGATCATCAAGCTAGCTTACCCGGAGACCAAGCCCGAGGTCCGGGAGGAGTACGTCACCGCGTTTCAGAGTATTGGGGTGACCACGAGCGCCGAGATGCAGCAGTGCATCCAGATGGAGCAGAAGCGGTGGATCCAGCTGTTCAAGGTGAGATGCAACACAGGGGTGCTCTCCTTCCTGCGTCAGTAGGCAGGATTCGCAGTCCCAAACTTTAAATTCAGTCATTTTGTTTGCCTTTTGTTGTTGGTTTTTTGGGGGGATTGTTGTTTTGCTATTTTTAGATGTTGTATATTTAGTTCTTTTTTTTTTTTACTTATTTTTTTTATTTATTTAATTTTTTTTTTTTTTGCTAATCCTCACCCAAGGATATTTTTCCCATTGATTTTTAAAGAGAGTGGAAGGAAAGGGGAGGGACAGAGAAACGCTGATATGAGAGAGACACATTGATTGGTTGCCTCCCGCACACATCTCGACCCCGGCCAGGGATTGCGCCTGCAGCTGAGTACGTGCTCTTGACTGGAATTGAACCCACAACTCTTCAGTCTGTAGGCCGACATGCAAAACCGGTTAGGTCTCTTTTTTTTTTTTAATTGTTGGGGTAACATTGGTTAATAAGATTATATAGGTTTCAAGTGTACATTTTTTTTAATATATTTTATTGATTTTTTACAGAGAGGAAGGGAAAGGGATAGAGAGTTAGAAACATCGATGAGAGAGAAACATCCATCAGCTGCCTCCTGCACACTCCCCACTGGGGATGTACCCGCAACCCAGGTATATGCCCTTGATCAGAATCGAACCTGGGACCCTTGAGTCCGCAGACTGACGCTCTATCTGCTGAGCCAAACCGGTTAGGGCTCAAGTGTACATTTCTTATTGCTTATTTGGTTTTTTGTTCATCCTCACCTGAAGATATTTTTTCTATTGATTTTTTTAAATTTATTTTTTATTAAATTTATTGGGTTGACATTGGTCAACATGAACATAGGTTTCTGGTGGGGGGAAATTTTATTTAAAATATATTTTTATTGATTTCAGAGAGGGAGAGGGAGAGAGAGATAGAAAAAACATCAATGATGAGAGAGAATCATTGATCGCCTGCCTCTTTTTTTTTTTTTTTTGCCAGTAGATGGTTCTATCCACTGAGCCAAACCAGTTAGGGCTGTTTTATTAATCTTTTTGTAAAGTCTTTTTGTCCTCTGTTTCATTCAGTTCTGCTCTAATTTTTATTATTTCCTTTCTCCTGCTGACTTTGGGTTGCTTTTATTCTCCTTTTTCTAGTTCTTTAAGATGTGATGTTAGGTTATTTACTTGGGATTTCTCTTGTTTCTTGACATAGGCCTGTAATGACCCCCTTATTACTTCTTTCACTGCATCCCAGAAGCTCTGATATGTCATATTGTCATTCTCACTTATATATCTTTTGATGTTATCTTTTATTCTTTAACCCAGTCATTCTTAGTAGTATGTTGTTTAATCTCCGTTATTAAGAAGTGTTATGTTTTCTTGATGCAGTGTTCCCTTTATCATTATAAACTTCCATCTTTGTCTCTTATCTTTGTTATCTTGAAATCCATTTTGTCAGATACAAGTGTGGCTACATGTGCTTTTCTGTGGATGTTATTTGCTTGGAGAATCATTTTCCACCCTTTTACTTTGCAAATACCTTTTTCTTAGCAGCTTAGATGTGTCTCTTGTAGGCAGCATATGGTTGGGTTTTGTTTGTTTTTATCTGCTCTGCTACTCGGTGCCTCTTTTTTTGCCAGTATTGGTTCTAAGCAGAGAAGTGAATACTCTATTTATGGCCTTAAAAGAGTTCTCAAAGCAAAGGTGAGGGGAGAGGGGCGGCAAGTCTAGAAATAGAGATGCCAATTAGGAGGCTCTTCCCATAGTCCGAAGAAGAAAAGAGAATGACTAGGGCGGGGCAGTGAAGGGGTGATCAGTGGACAGATACAGAGTCTACTGAGACGAAATGGCCAAGAAGACTTGCTGAAAGGCTGGAAGTAGAGAGGTGCTAGAAAAGGGGGAATCTAAGATAACCCCTAGGTTTGGGTCTTGAGCAACTGGGGGTATAGTGGTAGCATATACTGATGAGGAGACAGGAGGGAACACATTTGGTGTGGAAAGACAAAAGGTCTTCTTTTGGATGTGTCCAACTTGAGATGTCTATGATGCACCCACTTGGAAAAGCCTGGTTACTGTTGGATGGCTGTGTCTGGAAGTCCAGGGGTGAAGGGGAGGTCTGGACTGGAGATAGGAATTTAGGAGTCCTGAGCATGTTGTGATGTTTAAAGCCATGGGAAGGGATGACTTCCCTTTGGGGGAGGGTGTAGATGGCAAAAACGTAGAGTCTGGGATGGAGGCCAGGGACATGACAACATTAATCAGTGGGGTGGGGCGAAGAGGAGACAGCCTTTCACAGGAGACTGAGTGTGAGCTGCCAGGGAGGTAAGAAGAAAAATATGGAGTGTGGTTTGGGGGAAAGTAGGCATAGAAGCCAAGAGAAGAGAGAGATTTAGAAAGACACTGGGATTGATTATGTCTGGCAGCCCTGAGCCAGACCCTTCCCCAGTGGACAGCTCTGCGCCTCATGTCTGCTTTGCTCTGCACTGGTCTGCATCGCTGTGCTTTGCTCTCCATTCTGTGCCAGTCTGCTCCGCTCCAGTGAGACATCTTCGGTGTTTTAGCTCAGTCTTCAGTCTTTGATGGAAAAGAGAAGTGCACTCCCTCTGTGCCTCTTCATTGGTGAATTCAGACCGCTTACATATAGGGTAACTGATATTTGAGGGTAGCTCTGGGCCTCCATTGGTTCTTTTCCTTTGTGTTTCTGTCTGTTGTTTTTGTTTGGTGGCATTTCATACTTTTTTCCTCTTTTTTTTTTAAAGCTTTATGTCCTGATTTGGGGATTTTTGTGTGTGGTAACCATTAGGTTTATAAAAAATAAAGTTGCATACGTACCATAGTTGTTTTTCTTTTGAGTGCATCTGATCTTCATTCTCCTTTGCCAGTTCAGACTTTTACCCCGCCTTTTTATGTTTTTGTTGTCACAAATAATCCCTGTTTATGCTGTAAGTTTTTTGGTGATCTTACTCATAGTGTTGTGACCTTATATTCTCTGTTTCAGGTAAAATAACTCCCTTGGGTATTTCCTGAAATGGAAGTTTTCTGGTAATAAACTTCTCAGCTTCTGTATATTTGGGAACATCTTTATTTCTCCTCCATATTTAAAGGGTAAATTTACTGTATATATTATTCATGACTGGTAATCTCTGTCTTTCAGACGTTTGAATATTTGGTTCTACTCTCTTCTGGCTTGTAGAGTTTCTGCTGAGAAGGATGAAATTCTGATGAGTTTTCCTTTGTAGATCACTCCCTTCTTTTCCTGGCTGCTCTGAGAATTTTTTCTTTGTCATTAATTTTTGACAGTTTTAATACCAAGTGCCTTGGAGAGGGCCTCTTTGGATTGAGGTAACTATGTTTTCTGTTTGCTTCTTGGATTTGAGGACCTAGTTCTTCCAATAGGTTTGGGGAGTTCTCATCTGCTGTTTGAGTAGACTCTCCATTGCCTACTCCCTCTCCTCCTCTGCAATGCCTATAATTCTAATACTGCTTTTTCTGATGGAGTCAGATAGTTCTTGTAGAGCTCTTTCATTTTTCTTTATGCTCAGGTCTCTCTCTGTTTCCCTCTGCATCATTTCTTGATTCCTATCTTCAATATCACTAATTCTTTCCTCCATCTGATTGGCTCTGTTTTCTATGTTCAGTAGTTCACTATTAATCTTAATTGCATGCTTCATTTCCAGGATTTCTAATTGGTTCTTTTTTAAAGTTTCGATCTCTTTCATAAAATACCTATTTTGT